ATATATATATATATATATGGCTAGTTTGGCTATAAGTTCAATTTTTGGTTGCGTCTTCCTAAATTTTTTGAAGACTTGTTTTGAAATAAGGTCATCGAGTAGCAGCGGGCAACGTTGATACATTTCTGTAGAGCGTCAAACATTGAATTCAATGACTGAAAACTGTTTTCGTTTAAACGTTTGATATAAAAAAAGGTACGTATTTTTTTTGCGCTTCGTTTCTTTAAGAATTTTTCAAACGATAGCTGAAGTGTAAGACAGAAATTGTCACATTGTAGTATTTCATAACCATTAACAATATTCAGAGTGTGTGCGCAGTTGTACTACCACTAGAACTGTAAGTGTGTAGGCGGGTACAGTGTGTAAAAATGTATTATTAAAATTAAAGTATTAAAAAATTATTATTAAGTGTACCCATTAAAAGAATGTTCAGATACTGTTGAGAAATTTCACATATAGGATTATCAGACGTACTCTTTTACAAGTATAAAGTATTGCCTTTGGAACCAGAACGTCTGTCAGTGGTCAACACTAACGCCAAACAGTTCCGACTATTTTCTCCAACATTTATTTTCACCGAACGATCTCGAGGTCCTGCGAGTTTTAAACTGATTTAGATTGAGAAGGAGGGGGAACTCTTCACGAAGAATCCCTCTTTTCCAAATTTTGTCAAAAATAACGCCAATTTCTGTTATTAAACTTTGTCCTTCGTGAAGCGTAAATGACGCTTGAAAGAATGACCCTGATCTCACATTCGTTGGAATCTCATATTTACTTTCTCACTCTTATTTCCCCAGAGGAAATGTTGTCCGTCTGCCCGTCCGTTTATTTCTTCAATTATTTTTGTTAACTCCTCTCGAATTTTGTAAAGGACGCTGTAAAATGGTGCATTTTTGTTTAAATCTCTATTTTTTGGAAAATTGTTAAAGTTCAAACTTGTTTATAAGCGTCGTCCTACAATATTGAAGAGAATTTGTTTTTCACTTCATGAAATTTTGTCTTTGATGTTCAAGGTCAGGTACACTTTTTCGAAAATATTAGTAGTTTTCGGGTAGTTTTGCGTGAAGTAGATGCCATTTTAACCCCTCCCCCTAAAATTGCTCCAATTTTTACTTTTAATTTTCTCCTGCAATGCATCAAAAAACGGCATAAAAACTGGTGCTATTCCCATTTTCTGGGAACTCTGTATTTCCAAAAATTGCAAAAGTACAATATTGAAGGTAGATTTTCTCTTACGTAAAATCTGATCTTTAAAAGAGATCATGTACAATTTTTTGATAAAACTAGTAGTTATCATGTAATTTCTTCTTGGAGGTCAATGCAAATTATACTTTTAAAAAAATCCCCAAAACCGCTCAATTTTCGTTCCACGAATAGAACAAGGGACGCTTGAAAGATGTTGCAGGCCTTATTTCGAAAATTGTAAATTTAGAAATAAAGTGAGAAAGTATGTGCTGTTTGAACTCCAGTTTAAAAATTGGCAGTTAAGCGTAATTTTGCATTTACGAATTTGCAAATTGCAATTTCCTGCAATTCTTGCGGTAGAATCTATCGGAAGTTATTGCGTTGCAGTATAATATTTGTAACTCCAGGACTCAGCAGTCGAAATTCTCAGAATAACTTAATTGTTGGGCGGCGTTTCTTGGTGTATGGAATGGAATTTCGTATGGTCGAATGTTTGTTGATGTATTACCTTTAAATGAATTATATTTTCGCGTCTAATGCGCTACGATTGGTAACGAGTTTTGCAGTTTTACGATTGGTAATGAGCACTCGTCTGAGGTCTTGGTAATGAGGCACATGTGCTCAAAGCGACGAGCTGGCGACCCCTTTCGCTCATCGGGCGGAATTGCGATTGTCAGAAGGCGAGGATCGGCGTGAAGTGGGCACGATAATCTCGTATGGCGATTAATAACAATTTAGCCGTTATATTCCATACTACGCGGTCGTTAGCTTAGACTCAGGTGCGAGAGTGCTCTGTAGGCATGGCTACTCCGAGTTAACTTTGGCCATAGCAGACACCGTTGCCTCGGCGTTGACGAGTCGCTCGATCACGGGTAGATTTTTTTCAGCTAGACCTCTACATCTGACCATCAGCTCGCTCTCGAAGATTGTCAGCTCTCAGGCTCGTGCACGCGTATTTACCGGCGCTACGAAATCCTCCTCCTCCCCGCCCCTCCCGCGACAGGCGGTTGTCGATTCGGCATTGTCAAACCTCGCGTTGCGCGGGAATGGTGCTCTACCAACGAATTTCAAACACCGGCAGTTCGCTGAGCGCCGCTGCTTCCCTAGTTTCTCAGAATCGTCGAAAGGTCACGGGGCTTGGGCAAATTTTGCTCCGACGCCGAACGAAAATTCCAAGCGTTTACCGGCCGGATGCATCCGGGAACACAGTTCTCCCTAACACAGAGCTCGAGGTGCAATGCTGGAGGTTTCCGACGCGAACCTACACCAACCACTTGCACAAAGCAGTAAAATGCTCGGCGTGCGAATTGCAAAACACAAATACACTGACGTTCGGCTTCGTCAAGTGCGGTGCGGCACTGTTGGCAGCGACGGCGGCCACGCGGTCGGCGCGTTGCAAAGCCCGCGATGCCCGAAGAGGCTGAAGGAAAATTAATTTTTTTGTTCGTTGGTTGTTGTTGTTGGTTTTTTTTGTTAACACTGCTGTAATGGCAGATTGTCATTAGGAGTCATTATGTTCTTAGAACACATTAGATGCTCCTCGAAAGAGAATCACAAGAAATTACGCCATTGTGAATTTTGTGTGAGGTGGTTGGTCGTCCGCAGGGGTGCAAGGAAGGGGGTGAGAAATAAGAGCTGGAAGATGGTGACCTAGAG